AGAACTGCCCCAATCTGGCAAAGGAAATAGACATGCAAGTCCAAGAAGCTCGGAGAGTCCCAAAAAAGTTGGATCCAAGGAAGCACATGCCAAGAGAAAGCTAGATGACTAGAGATGAGGACTGGGGAGGACCAGGGCAAGGAGCAGGTGTATTCTGTTAGAACTTTGGTAGTTTAAAACTATACACAAGTTACTTTACAATAATAAAAAATTAACTTTAGAATAAATAAAATATAAGCCTTATCAATAATGATAGTACAGCCAGTTTTTTAAAATGAGGTGAACAACATAATGATGTAGGTAATTTCCATGATACATTCTTATTAACAAAGTAAGTCACTAAAGAGTATATATAATATAACTGCATTTGAGTCCAAGTGTTTGCTTTTTGTTAAAGGGTCTAGTTCTGAACACACACCCGTATGCACAGAAAATGTCTGGGAGAATATAAACCACGCCTACCTTAGGGTACTGAGATAGGGAATTTTTTTCTTTTCACTTCATAGAATTCTGTACAGTTTATGTTCTCCTCCTAAAGAGAGGTTCTATTACCTTTTATGTTAAAACTTCCTCCTTTCTTCCTTCCTTTTTTTAAAGACAAAAGCGTTCCCACACCCACCTGCCTCCTGCCGCAGCAATCCCAGAGTGTCGAGGATTCGACAAGCTTCCAGTGAGCACTGGATCATTGCTTCCTTTTTCTTTCCTGAGTGAATGGCCTCGGCCACCAGCTGTTTTCCAGTTGAATCATCCACAGGTAATCTGCATTGGTTTAGAGGGAATTATTGCACAGCACTAAGCTCCAATTCTAATGAAAAGAATTAGTATGTCATGATAATAGTCATTTTTTTGAGATGGCTTTCCAATCTCTGGATTCATTTTGTTGTATCTTGCTAAGGTTAGATTTCAAATTGTTTCCCTCCACCTCTTACCCATTCCACCCAATCCTCCAATACTATAAGTGTTACTAAACTATCAAGACCCCAAATCAGGAACAGCCTAAAATTAAAACTAAAGTTACTCTTTGGACGGCTAGCTATAACCATAAATTAAACCTTAAATGTGCCCCTTTCCAGAAACAGACATTAGTGAGAAGAGAACACACCTCACCCTGCAGAGCCAAGTGCTGTGCCCCTGCTCATCAAATTCATACTCCAGTTCTTCTCCTTTGGAAGGCAGAAAGACAAGAAAATTTTAATAGGGTCTAAAGAAGCTGACACAAAGAGAAAAAAGAACTGAAATTAAATAAGAATATCAAGTTCCCCTATCACACTGAACACTAAATTTCAATGCATTTCAGTTCTTATTCCTAGGGATTATCATCTGATAATAAAATTAGGATGAGTGTGAGGCAGAAAAAACGCAAACTCAAATCAAAACAATCAACTCTCCATACATAGCTTTGTATAGTAGCTTTCATACTTTCAATGAACTGTAGACTTAAGTTATTAAACTGCCTGGTTTTTAGAAGCATAAACATTAAACAAAGAATGCAATCAATTCATATATTCATGGACTCACACTCACACGCACACACACACCTATCCAAACACACATACACGAAGACATTCCTCCAACATATCACGATTGAAACAATCCTTTGTGGAATTATTTTTAAATCCTATAAAGTCAAAATCCATGCTAAGAATTACAAAATATCGGGTGAATTATAAAGGGAAAATTACAAGAAATTGGCTCAATCTTCTGCCACCAAAATCTAGGATCTTAAAAAAAAAGAGGAGAATCAGAAAAAAAGAACTTCCTTTTTTCCAAGGTGAGAAAGACTAACAAAATGTTTACTCTTTTCAGAATTAACCTGACACAACTGACCACAAGGGCAAGTACTGAACCAGGAAGACAGCGGCTAAAACACGGCCTTTCTAAGCACCTGAAGTCCCAAAAACAATGCTGCCGAGGACACATTCTGCTCTGAGGAGGGTCGGAACATGTTTACGTACCTTCTCGTTCAAAAAAGCCTTGGAGAGCCTTTTTCGGATCCTTTATATAAAAGGCCTCCCTTTCCTGCTGAAACTCTAAAACAATGGGGTTCTCCTCAGCCTCATCCTCTACAGCATCTTCTCCTACAGGACACGGGAAAGAAGGGAAAGACAATCAGATACCAGAGGAGACCATATCAATGGTACTCACTATCCTTTCAGGCTTCGTAAAGATACAGTTATCAGTGACGAAAAGGAGAAGTGGCAGGGAGGACAACCAAACAACCACCGGTGTGGACATCTTTAGGTTTTCCGAATTGAGTGAGAAGTTAACACTTGTTTTTGTGATACTTTTTTCCTCTCTCGCTGTATTTTAAAAGCAAAATTACCTGCTACATTTTCTACGGAAGAACTATCTAAGCTCCAGGTCTCATACTTTGCCTCCAATATAATTTCCTAGTACTTCTCCTATCTGCCAAACGGACTGCTCTATTCATTGCTCCCCGAAAATCATCAAACCCTGCCCTGAACGCCACTCCTTTCAGCTTCCTAAGGGCTACTTTTTCTTTCCTTCAAGTCCCAGCTCAAAACTCTCCTGCTTATCCACTTTTCCCAAAGATCCAAGTCAGTGCTGCCCAACAGAAACCAAGTAAAAGCCATATATGTAATCTAACATTTTCTAGCAGCCATGTTATAAAAGGGAACTGGTAAAATCATTATCACATTGTCAATACTAAACATTATCAATGAGATGTTTTGCATTCTTCTTGCACACTAAGTCTTCATATCCGGTGTGTTTTTTTACACGTACAGCACGTGCTGATCTGGACTAGCCGCACTGGGAGTGTCCGATAGCCACATGTGGCTAGTGGCTCCCACACTGGACAGCACAGGTCTGAGCCCTCAGAGACTGCTCCCTTTTCTGAACCCTTACTCTAGCACGGTTTCTAAATTTGTTTGGCACTTATCACAGTAACTTCCTACTTATCCTGTTCTCCCAACAATATATTAAGGCCTTTTGTATTTTTTTTAAGATTTTATTTATTTTTAGAGATGGGAAGGGAGGGAGAAAGAGAGAAACATCAATGTGTGGCTGCCTCTCACGTGGCCCCCACTGGGGACCTGGCCCGCAACCCAGGCATGTGCCCTGACTGGGATCGAACCTGCAACCCTTTGGTTTGCAGCCCGCGCTCAATCCACTGAGCTACGCCAGCCAAGGCCCTTTTCTATCTTTTTATATTCCTAGCTCCTGAATACCCATTCCTAGCTCCTCTGGCTAAGGGACCAGCTTTCTCTGGTTAGCTATTTCACATTTCAGGGTATTCACACAACATGCAAAAAAAAATTCAAGGGAATATCCTACAATGAATATTCCAATTTACTTGCTTAAATGTAGTTCCAGCTTCTTCCATGATAATCAAGGTCAGTACTTAATTTTAAGAATTACTTTTAAACGGTTAAAATACCAAACTAATTGTATACTGAAAACGAGTTTCCAACAACGGAGTGAACTGTAAATAAAACACATTAAAAGAAATCATAGTGTCCATAATTCAATGTTTTGACTTGAGAAAAGTAAATGAATCTCTCCGAGTTTTGGTAACCTCATGTGAAAATTGTACTTAGTCATTAAAACTTGCTTGATAAAAAACATTTGAGGTCACCACTACTAACAATTTCAAAATATTAACCTCTGGCAGCAATTTTAATTTCTTACCCATTCCCCAGGTGCAGCCCATTTCATCCTCCTGACCACCGGTATTTCCCTTCTTTTCAGTGGTATCCATTTCCTCATCTTCATCCGAGTCTTCTCCCAGCATCTTCTTCTCCAACATCATTTGTTGCTTCTTGCGCAATTCCTTCAATTGCGTTACTGTCAACTCGGATTCTGCCTCTTGGTCTTCCTCTGGTCCCTGATGAACCAAGCGAAAGAATTCTTTTAAAGTTCAGGAGAGATGAACTCGCTTTCAGAAATACTGCAGTGTGTCCTGAGGTTTGGAGACCGGCCAGATTCCTCCATCTCTGTAGTCAGCGACTAGAAACAGAATCTCCCTCCGCCACGAAAGCTTAGGGAGCTCAGTAACCCAGCCCGGTGCGCTCCAGAGATTCCAATTCTAGGTTTTTCTACGTACCTGAAGAAGAAAGAGCCGGGTGCTGCCGCCGAAGCGGAGAACGTGCCCGACGTGGACCCGACAATAGGTGCGGGGTGGGATGCGGGTTTTGTTGAGAAAGGTGCCGTGGGTGCTTCCCAGGTCGTACAGGTAGAAGCCCGGCCCGTGGCCGTCGCCGTCTCCGCCGGGGCCGGATGCCCCGTGCTGCAGCACGGCGTGGTACCGAGACACCGAGGGGTGCTCCAGGCACACGTCGCAGCTAGACAGCCTCCCGAAAAGGCAGCTACTGGTCCCTTTCAAGCTACGGGTTCCAAGGATCGTGCCGCCCTTCAGGGTCTCTAGGCTGTAGGGGGCGGTGGCGGGGCCGGCCCACGGCGGCTCTCGGTAAGGCGGGGCCCGGGCCGGGCCACCGGGAGCAGGAGCCGCTGTCGGGGGCCGCGGCTGCCCCTCCCGCAGACTCCTAGTCTCCGCGCCTTCAGGCCGAGGCGGAGGGGCGTCAGGCTCCCCGGAATCTGGGTCCTGCAGCGCCGTGGGCCTCTCCTTCACCTCCTCCGGGTTTGAAGGATTGCTGGCCGGGACCTGGCCCCGCACCGCCGGGGGCACCGGCAAAGCTGGCTTTTTGAAGTCGTCATTGAGTTCTTCCGAAGCCGTTGGCTCGGACAGAAGGGGACTATCGGCCATCCTCAATCGGGTGCAGTCTCGAAACTTGGTCCTGGGAAACCTCTCCCTTCGGTCTCCACGTTCCTCTCGGCGCCTGTCTCTCCCCAGCTCTCTGCGGCCTCTTCGGGCAGCGGTGCTGGACTTGCGTGAAGACAGCACCGGGAAGAGGTGGGTAGGGCTGTGCAGTCATAAGAAGAGGAACACCAAAAAGAGGCGGTCGGGACAACTGTCAGACGGGGACATGTTTGGAGGTTGCACACCGAGTAGTAAGGACTTCCTATGGCATAGCCCGACTGCAAGAAGCGCTTCCGGCAGCCTTGGGCGAATAATCCACAATCAGCCTTCCGGCCCCGAAGTAATCCTCGGCTCAGGCCTCCCCGGGTTGATCCATCCCTCCCAGCCCCGCTCCCGCGACGCGGCAGTGAAGAGTGGCGTCTCCATGCCTCTGTCCAGGGCCAGACCTCCTCGTCTCCCCGCTGCCCCGGGCATCAGGCGACTCCAGGACTCTGTGATCTGCGCCTGAGCCTGCTGAAGCGCCCGCGGCTCCTGGGCATTCCTTGGGCTTGGAACCTGTTCTTCGTACTCCTTTCGGTGAAGTTAGGGGAGAGGGCGATTTTTTGGTCCCTTCCTTCATCCATTAATTCGTCCAATAATTTATTGTTTCCAGAACCAATTTTTGAGGCAGCATGTGTGGTGGTTAAGAGTGCAGACTCTGGAGCCTGTCTTGATTTCCCCCCTTGGCCATTTGTGATAAGTGGGCAAGACAATGGGTCTCAGCTTCCACAAATGAGAAATGGGATAACTATCTACTTCATTGGGTAGTTGAGAAAATGGGATTAAACAATTCAGGCAAAGTCTGGCACCCAGTAAGCACTCAGTAAGTTCCAAATATTACTGTGAGCCAGACACTACTAAGATCATGGTGTTGAGAGAGATGGGAGAATAAAATCATTGAGGCAAGAACTCATTTAAATCCAGGGGTAAGTGCCGTGATGGAAAGTGCAATGCCGTTCAATGCAGTGCAGGGAGAATAGAATGGAGGGAGATGTGCTGGGGAGGTCTTGGAGGGCGGGGACTTAAGAATGAGTACAAGTCTACCAGGGATGTGATGGGTGGGAGGGAATTTCTGGCAGAAAAATTCCTTGAAGAATGCATGGCATGCTCAAGAAACTGGTTGTATAATGATGCTGGAACTGAAATGGTCATTTCCTCCAGGAACTGGACTTCCACCGTACAGTGTCTGTACCTCCAGAACAGCCCTTACCACACATTTTCATATTGTTCTTTTTATGGTTCACTCCCTCACCTCAGGTCAGGGATCTTGCACTGGTCTTTGTCTCCTCCCATAATGCCTGGTATTTGATAATTGTTGTTGAATTTGAAGAGACATGTAAGTGGTTAATCTGGAAAGGTAGGTTGAAGCCAGATTGTGAATTTTGTTGAATGGTAGACCAAAGAAATCCGACTGGCTTTTTCTGAAAGGCAATGGGAAGCCATTAATCTGAGTTTTTAAAAGAGTAAGTGTAGCAGTACTGGAGGGCAAATTAGACACAAGGAGAGATGGGAGGAAGGGAATACCATTTAGGAGTCAGCAGAAGTCTCTCAGATTCTTCCTGTATGTATATCAGAAATTGAAGGCATTAAGACCATTTAGATGACTGGTTAACACATTTTTCTCCACAAGGACCAGTTAAAAGGTTCCCATACACAACACACAGAATAAAAAACACATTTTCCTATTTTAACTCTACTCCCTTTTCTCCTGCTGACCCAGGACATATGTTTCAAGATAAAGAAGTATTCCACCTGGCTGGTGTAGCTCAGTGGATTGAGCATGGACCTGCAAACCAAAGGGTTGCTGGTTCGATGCCCAGTTCAAGCCACGTGCCTGGGTTGTGGGCCAAGTCCCCGGTACAATGTACATGAGAGGCAACCACACATTGATGGTTCTCTCTTTCTACTTCCCTTCCCCACTCTCTAAAAAATAAATAAAATCAAAGAATAAAATATAAAAACCAAAAATAATTGTTGAGGAAATTAATAAAGAAAATTTACTATTATTTTTTAAAAAGCCCTGGCTGATGTAGCTCAGTGGATTGAGCACAAGCTGGGAACCAAAGGGTTGTCAGTTCGATCCCTAGTCAGGGCACATGCCTGCAGGCCAGGTCCCCAGTGGGGGCCATGTGTTTTTTTAACACATTGATATTAAAAAAAAGAAATATTCCAGGTCTAATTTAAGTAACCGGCTTTGCAAATTGTTTGGGATTGGGAATGATGATGGAAAATAGAGTCCCAGATGCTACTGCAGCTACTAGTCTCTTAGTAACCCAGATTTCACTGTGCGGTTCAGTCCAGTAGGAACTGTCATTGTGTATGATTTGCTGACTGCCATCTAACAATTCTATTTATCTTAATTTCTTCAGGGAGAACATCGTTAGTCCTATGGTGTGGCAGACATTGGCATTTTTCTAAGTGGTCTTGAACAGTCTACTGTTTACGTAAACGACGGCTAGACTTCATGTTTTCTACTTCAGAAGCCTGTAATCTACAGCTGGCAGAGATCTGAAACACTACTTTTAGGATATCATCTACATTTGTCTTGAAAACTCTTCTTACTCCAAAATGTTGAGATACTGGGGCGAGATACCAATCTCATCAAGCCAGACCAACCGAAGTTCCTTTGACTTGCTGCCGCGGGAGTTCCGTCTGGTGGAAGTCCATGACCCGCCCTTGCACCAGCCCTCAGCCAACAAGCCCAAGCCCCCCACTATGCTGGACGTCCCGTCAGAGCCGTGCAGCCTCACCATCCACACCATTCAGCTGATCCAGCACAACCGGCGACTGCGCAACCTCATTGCCACAGCCCAGGCCCAGAATCAGCAACAGACGGAAGGTGTGAAGACTGAAGAGGGTGAACCCCTTCCTTCTTGTCCTGGGTCACCTCCTCTTCCCGATGACCTCCTGCCTTTAGACTGTAAGAATCCCAATGCTCCATTCCAGATTCGGCACAGTGACCCAGAGAGTGACTTTTATCGGTAAGTCAAGGTTTGGCTATGTCTTACTTTTCTCAACAAAATCTTCCCGACAACCCTGTTAATAAGCATGTAATAACGTTTCCTGGAGGAAACTGAGAATGAGGGTCATGCACTCGGCCGCAGTTGCTCAGGTAATTAGTGGGAAGTCTAAGACTTGAACCCCGATCTTCAAAATCCAAAGTCTGTATTTTTTATTTTCTAAGGCAGTAAATATTTATTGAGTGCCAACTGTGTACCAGGACTGTACTAGGAGCAGGTCCGACACTGGTATGTAAAACAAGCCATGGCCTCATAGTCCTCAGAACCTAGTCTGTCTCTCATTTAAAATGTTTCATGGCTTTAGCTCAGTGTCCTCAAATTGAGATTCATAGACTTATTCTGGTATTATTAGGAACCCATAAGTTCTTTTTTTTTAAGATTTTATTTATTTTTAGAGAGGGAAGGGAGGGAGAAAGAGAGAGAAACATCAATGTGTGGTTGCTGGGGGTCATGGCCTGCAATCCAGGCATGTACCCTGACAGGGAATTGAACCTGTGACACTTGGGTTCGCAGCCCATGCTCAATCCACTGAGCTACGCCAGCCAGGGCTCCATAAGTTCTATATACAAGAATTTTTTAATGGTGTACTTTCATTTTGATAACACAGTTTAAGAAATAACAGTATAAAAACATTCTTGATCCATGCTACTCAAAATCTGGTTGAACACCGGCAGCATCAACATCACCCAGGAGCTTGTTAGAGACGCAGTCTCAGGCCCACCCACCCCGCTGCACTGGAATCTTCCCTGTAACAAATCTCCAGCAGACTCCTGTGTGTGTTTAAGTTTGAGAAGCCCTGCTCCGGAGGCTTTGAACAGCTAACTTATAACCTAGTGCTACTACAAGAGTTCAGTAAGTTTGCATTTGGTGCCAAATAACTTTTTCTTTTCATTTTGAAATTTGTCAGAACTTCAGAAAAGTTTAAAAAACAGTACAGTGAACTATCACTCTGGTTATATGGCAGGTTAACATTCTGCCATATTTACTTTCTCCCATATGTTTGTATACACAAATGCATATACACATTTTTTTGCCAAGTATCTTAAAGTTGCAGAGATATCACAATATTCATGTCTAAATTTTTCACCTTATCTTAAGAATAAGGAAATTTTCCTGCATAATTCCCATGTTATTATTACACCAAAGTAAATGAACACTTAATTAAATGATATCACATAACAAGTCCATATTCAGATTTCTTCATTTGTCCCTGAAATATCTTTTGTAGGTAAATTTTCCCCAGTCCAGGAGCTAACAAAGATTCGTGCATTACATTTGGTTTATTCCATTTTAGTGTCTTTTAAGCCAGAATAGCTTTCTCCTTTATATTATTATTTTGTTTTATCTATTTATTTATTTAAGTTTATTGGGATGGCATTAGTCAAGCTTCCTTCTTTTTAAAAAACATGATATTAATCTTAAGAGTTTAGGTCATTTGTCTTCTAGAATATCCCACTTACTGGATTTGCTAATGTTTCCTCAAGATTAGATTCAAGTTAAATTTGACCAAAATTCTGCATGAGTAATATTGTATGTCTTATTGCACCTGCCTATTCATTATAATAGTTAGTACCATTTTAACTGTCCCAAATTGATGAGAAAAGAACAGAAATAGGCTTAATATGTAAAAGTTGCATTTGGGCTGATGAAGGCCAGATGATGTCATGGTGAACTCGGGGTCATGAATAGGGAAGGAATAATTATGTAACTACATGTAGGGCACATTTTTATAGGTATGTCCAACTTAAAAATACTTGCTCTGTAGCAAGCAGTACCATTTCAAGAGCAAGTTAATTGTAACAAAATAGTATTGTCCATAATATTAAATTGATGTTGCTACTTAAAATTTTGTAGTTTTGTGTCAAACTTCTAACTTTATTGTTGCAAAGAGCTATAAGCATCAGAGGGTCATACCTAGTTTGTTTTATACATATTTAAGAAACCGTGTAACAAAAATAATTTGCATCAGTTATGAGGGTGCCAAAAGAATTATTTTCCTTTGAAAATATATAGGCCCTTGCCCTGGCTGTTGTGGGTCAGTAGACAAAGTGCTGGCCTGCGAATCGGAAATATACAGGTCCATGTATTACTCACATAAAGCAAAACTGTTTAGCCTTGTTTATTAGGCACTTCTGAGGCCTGAAGCATTTGGCCCAGAAAGAATGCCTAGGAAATGATGATGAAAAGTTATTTGGCAACTGGTTTTCTTATTTTCCAACTGTTATGCGAACTGCAGTGGTCGCTACTGAGCAGATAAGAAGAGTAAATGGGTGGGTATTCCCTAAGCGCTCTTGCACAGCAAGGGCTGGCCCATGCCCATCATGGAGCAGGGGAGAGTAATTTTCTGTAGCCTATTTTCTTTTTCTGTATTTTTACTATTTACTTCCTTTGTCAAGGCGAAGTAGAAGGTAGGAAATTTCAGGAAACAGGTACGTTATTAGAGGCTGTTAAAAGTTATTTTTAGGAGATCAGACAACTTTTTGAAGTTATCTCTTGGAAAGGTTACGATTTCTGCAACAGTGACTAGGTACAAAATGGTGCCTTATGAAGAACGTGGGATCTGGTTTCAGAAGCCCCAGGCGGCACTGATTAATAACACCTGGACAACTTTCGGTAAATCAGTGCCTCTGAACCTCCATTTCCTTACCTGCCAAACAGCAATAATAATAGGGACCCTACCTATAATAATAATAATGGTAGGGTCCTAATAATAATGGACCCTACCATTTCACAGCACAGGAGAGGATTAAAAGGCCTTGTAAGCTGTATATGCTACATTGCTTGTAAAATTGAGTTGCTTCCCCAGTTTTACAAGTGGTCTGTTGCAGTCAAGTGAGAATCTCCCAGTTGGGACTGTAAATTTCTGAAAGGCCGTATGCTGCCCAGCATGTGAGGGAACCACGTTCCAGTGAGATGACCAGGGCACCATCAAGCAGTGTCTGGGCTACACTCTTAAAATTAATCAGATCCTGTAAGAGATCAAAACTGAGCAGCTGGTGTAAGAAGGATCCTTCCTTTTCACTGGGTGCCCTTTTATACTCTTTCTCACAGGCACGGTTGCCCAGGCAAACTGCAGTTGGAGGAGCTCAGAGATATGACTGTGGGTTGCTTAGACATGCTCTGACTGCAGCAAAGGTGGAGCTGGGCTGTGTAACCTGCATAGAATTTCCCTGGGAAGCTGGCCAAGTGGCCTGATTGGGATTGTAAAGCTTGTAGGGAGACAGGACAGGTCAGCCTTTTGCAAGAGCACGAGTAACACTACTGCCATGTCTCCGCTTTCAGTGGGAAGGGGGAGCCTGTGACCGAACTCAGCTGGCACTCCTGCCGGCAGCTCCTCTACCAGGCAGTGGCCACCATCCTGGCCCATGCAGGCTTTGAGTGTGCAAATGAGAGTGTCCTGGAGACCCTGACTGACGTGGCACACGAGTATTGCCTGAAGTTCACCAAGTTGCTGCGCTTCGCTGTGGACCGGGAGGCCCTGCTGGGGCAGACTCCCTTCCCTGACGTGATGGAGCAGGTGTTCCACGAGGTGGGCATCGGCAGTGTGCTCTCCCTCCAGAAGTTCTGGCAGCACCGCATCAAGGACTATCACAGTTACATGCTACAGGTGAGGGGGCCTGTGGAGAGAACGTAAAAATGTGTAGTCCAGGGGGTTCAGCAGGATCCCGCACTTGCTATAGAATGCAGAGCACAGGATCCTGGGACAGGGTGGACACAGCCTGCTTTCCTCAGGCCCAAGCTGCGATTCACTGGCCTCGTCACTGAGCTGGCCAAACAAATCAGCGAGGGGATACTCCCCAAGGCTGGCCAGGTGGGGAGAGACACCACTTTGAGTTAGAACCAGAAATATCTCATCTCTTCAACACTTGTGGCCTCAGGCAAGTCCTAAGTTTGTTCATGGTTTTGGTTTCCCCAAATCTAAAATATCAAAAGGGCCCCCTTTTTAACACCCAACCAAAAAGTCTTTGCTAAGTGATGCTGATTTCCTAAACTATTCATTACCCACCTAGGGTACATATGTTAACTCTTAGTTTTGATAGCCAAAAATGTGGTCTTTTGTCCCAGTTCTGATTTAGATTTGTCTATTTTTCACCTTGATGTAACTTTTCATTAATGACACACACACACTCTCTGCAAACAAATTTCTTTACGTGCCAGCTCAACACCTTAAGCAAATTCCTTCCATTCGCAGTGGATGCTTTATTCGTATTCATATGCACATTCTGTTGGCTTTTCCATGACTACCCAACTTGTTTCTAACGTTTCTGTGGAAAATTATTCCCTGCTTGCCAACAGATTAGTAAGCAACTTTCTGAAGAGTATGAGAGGATCGTCAATCCTGAGAAGGCCACAGAGGACACCAAACCTGTGAAGATCAAGGAGGAGCCTGTGAGCGACATCCCCTTCCCCGTCAGTGAGGAGCTGGAGGCTGACCTTGCTCCTGGAGACCAGTCGCTGCCCATGGGTGTCCTCGGGGCTCAGAGCGAGCGCTTCCCCTCTAACCTGGAGGTGGAGGCTTCACCACAGGCTTCGAGTAAGAGAAATCCACTTACTTTGGTTCTGGGAGGTCCTCGTGTCTCAGTACCTTTTGTGTTGCAGAATCATACTCTGAAGACAGAATAACTAAGGTGGGGGTGGGCAGAAGCATGAAAAGTCTCAAAACAAACACAGCTTCACTGATCTAGAGATACCACCAGTCTCCTCTCTCTAACTAGAGGACAAGCGCAGCTTTACAAGCGTTCTTTAAAGTGACTCCTGCTCAGGGTGTAGATGCAGTACGTGTTGATCTGTTGGTTAGAAGTTAACTCAGCTGACCCAGCGAGGTACGCAGCTGTCCCCTCCTTCCCTGCAGGGGTGTCAAACTGATTTTCACCAGGGGCCACATCAGCCTCGCGATTGCCTTCAAAGGGCCAAAATAATTTTAGGACTGTATAAATGTAACTACTCCTTAACTGTTAAGGAGCTGAAATTACATTCGGCCCTTTAAAGGCAACTGCGAGGCTGATGTGGCCCCCGGTGAAAATGAGTTTGACACCCCTGCCTTAGTGTCTGTATTGGTCCTCCCTGGTGCTTGTACTCAATTAAGACAACTTCCAGATAGACAGAGGAGAGTTAATTGCTCAAAGATGTGTCAACAGTTGGGCTTCCTTGCTAGAGTAACACAACAAATTGGAGCTAAAAGCAATTGAAAAGGAGCTGCACAGAGGTAGCTGGCCTCTTCCAGATAGACTCTGCTGTTACTTTACGAACCAGGATGGCTTGATCCTTAGGTCAGATTGCAAATTAGTCCAGACACTGGTTCTTTACAAATATAAATTTCCATTTCATCAATGCACAAATGATGCAAATAGCAAATCCTCCAGTGTGGCCTAAAGAGAATTAGATCATGGCTTTTAAACTCGAGCGGAGCCTTTCAGCACGGAAGAATGACCGCAGAACAAGGTTGCTAGAACACACAGAGGTAGGAGGGCCGTGTCTCCTTTCGGCAGTCTAGGAACTGCAGGCATTTTGGAGTGATCGTTAACTTTTCATAGTGTGAGACAGAACCAGCAACCCAGACAAAAGGCAGGAAAACAAGACTGCCCTGTTAAAAGGAGGGACAGGCAAACGTAAAAAGAGCCTGTGGTCATACCTGCCCTTAGGCCATGAGACAGGGAATCTTTCCACATACAAGCAGTTTTACTTCCCTGGTTTAGCAAAATGGGGGCTGTGGGGGTGGGGTTGGATAAAGGAGGGTGGAGGAAGTGGAACGGAAGGTATTCAGAGTTGGTCTAACTTTTTGAAGCAGAGAAATACAACCATATTCTCCAGCCAAGCAGAGAGTCAGAACGTATGCTGAGCTCCAAATCCATCAGCCCGTCCTGGAGAGTATATTCATTCTACTTTGTTCCAGCGTGGGCTTACCAGTAGTTTCATGTTCTTCCATTTTCAGGCACAGAGGTGAATGCTTCCCCGCTTTGGAACCTGGCCCACGTGAAAATGGAGCCTCAAGAGAGCGAAGAAGGCAACGTCGCCGGGCACGGCGTGTTGGGCAGCGACGTCTTCGAGGAGCCCATGTCAGGCATGAGCGAGGCCGGGATCCCGCAGAGCCCCGAGGACTCAGACAGCAGCTACGGCTCGCACTCCACCGACAGCCTCATGGGCTCCTCCCCCGTTTTCAACCAGCGCTGCAAGAAGAGGATGAGGAAGATCTAAAAGGAAGGGAGATTTGCTGTCGGAAGCAATAAGCTCAACAGAAAAACCAATGTACTCGAATTTGTTTCCACCGTGATTTGACTTAAACACAGTGGATTTTCCTGATTTCAGTGGAATCGGACTCAACGAAACAAGTTTGCATCTTGTGCACCCGGGTTTTGTAGTTTCCCACGGCGGCCATGCCACCTCTCGCAGAGGTCACGACGCTGGGACAGTTTTCGGACCTCAGCCCCAGCCGTGACCCCTGTCCTCACTGTGAGACTAATCGAGTGTGTTAGCCTCTCTGGGGCCATTTCTCTGGCACAGCTGAGAAGAATGGTACCCCTCCGGCTGGTGTGGCAGGGCTCTCGTGAACACCCAGATGTTAATAAACCTCCCAGCTGGGCTTGAACAGACTCACGAGTAAACGTGTGCTGGTATCAGATGTCAGCTTGTTCATTTAATTTGCTTCATTTTTGGTTCAGTTGTTGGGAATCCAGTACTATTGCCTAACAGGAAATAGCTAAATTCTGTACTACCTTTCCATCAGCCTTTTAAACTCTTGCTGCCCGTGAAGTCTCTTAAAATTGTCTGTGGTAACAGACTTTTTGGTTATTCAGACAGCCCTCTCGTACCTCATCCACTTATTTTCTTCTTGCTTTAGATTTATTCCATCTAGTCTCATCCTTTGTCTGTTTTCTTAGTTCCACTCAGATTTTTAAAATGTAGTCATCCCTTGGTACTTGTTGGCTTCAGAACTTGTCAAATCCTGTACTTCTTGCACTTTGACAAGAAAAAAACATTTCAGCACTCAGCGCTTGCTCTGGACTCATCTCACTTGCTAGAACTTGTGCGAGGCACACCACTGCAGAAGGAAATTCTTCATCGTTTGGTGTCGGTTTCGGCACTCACCTCGAGTTCTGGAATGAATTAAGGACAAGTACCAAGGTACCACTGTGTTTTTATTGTATCATTTCTTCAGTTTTTTTCATTTCCCCCTTTCTGAATGAGACGAACAGGGCCTGTCCAAGGACAGGCTTGTGCATATTTCGTATCTGCTTGGCCTTAGAGGACAGCCGTCCGTTCCTCAGCCAGAATTCTACATCTGCATATTATGCTCCTACTGGATGCACAGCCTCTAAAGTGGTGATAGGCACCTCTCTACTCCATGTCCTCAACAACTTGACTGTCACTACTCACCCACCACCCTACTGCCCTGCCCAGCATCGGATAGTCTCAGTCAGTCTTACTAAGTAAACGGTGCAGCACTGGGGTGACGAGGAACACTTGGCAAATGTGTGCTTTGTGCCTTGGTAATGGGTCCCAGCATGTTAAATACTGCTGAAGTTTGCTTTTCAGGTGCAGAATGCAAGTCTTGTGACATTCAGAGCACTCCTTTATTAAAGACCAAAATCAAGGCACAGCTTTAATTAGTACATTCCTGTCTTAAGTGGCCCCTGGCATTGAGAATAAAGATGAATGCAATAACAAGGTTATAATCTAAACTGCTACCAGATCACTTATAAATTTGCTAATTGTACTTCCTTAGCACACTTATTTCAACCCTTTTCCAGGCTTAGCTTTGTCTTTTGTGTATAAAAGCGGACATTGGTTTCTGTCCAGTAGCCATCTAATATTTAATTCAGTTAGGAAGTATTTCTTGAGGACCTATTATGTGCTACCTCCTTTGCAAGGGCTACAAAGATGAGCAAGACTTTGTACCTGCCCTTATGGAGCTGATAGTGTAGGTCATATACCTTTCTTTTTTTTTTTTTTCCCCACTACCACTTCCACCCATCCTCCTTCCTCCCACAATCCACACAAATTATTCTTTAAGGGAAAATTATTCAAAGGCACTAAGGGGGGAAAAAACAGGTATATTACAATGCATTTTACAATGCATATGGTTTCCTCTAGAACAGGTTCAAATTTTCAGACCAGTGGTTCCCACTAGGTATAGAATATTGAAATACTTCATGGTAAAATAAAATACTTTTATTTTCAGAATGTTTGAATTGGATAACAGGCACCAGATGGTGGAAGTTAGGGTATTCTTGATGGAGCAGGTCACACAAGGACCGAGTGCCTAGGTTCAGCTGGCCGGGAACGGTCCCAGGCTGTTTGAGTTAGAGCAGTGGTCCCAACAGACTGCGGGGCCCACCGTTTCTTCAGTGTCCCGTTCCTACCAATGTCCCAGGAGAAGCTTAGGCTTCTGGTGCAGCGACCACACTTGGAGAACCACTGGAACAGATTACACAGGGAGAGAACTCCTTACGAGAAAGGTACTGTATTTTAAGGTACTGGGAAGAATGAAGACAGGGTAAACCCTCACTGTGGTCACTGTATGTGCAATGTCCATCTGACCCACACCCATGACCTCTGAGTAAATCACCAAGGATACTTCGCATTAAGTTCAAAGCACAATATAAACAGGGCCTGGCCCTATACCTGGTTGCTAGTGTGTGTAGAGAGGAGAATCTATTTGTGAGTGTATGTATTTCTTATTTGAAATTATGACAGGCAGGCTTAGAACAAAGTTAAAATTAAAAACTATCTGAGTCACCAACGAAAGCAGGATTCTTATTTATTAATTACATGTTTTGCCCACTTTCTTCAACAAACCAGGTTCCCTGTAATGAGCTACCAAGCATGAGGCACACTTCACACCAACACCGACTGGTTGCCACTCTACAGGCTCCTGTGTCCCCTCCCCCCTTCTGCTCAAAGGAGGGGAACTGGTGGCTCAAAGGCCAGATGCAGGGGAAACAGAGGCTACAGATCCAGCCTAATACCAGAGATCTGAAGTGAACAACAGTATGTTCCCTATTCCACCCGTCAGCAGCAAAAGTAATTGAGTCCACATGAGAAAACATGAAGTTTTATGCCTGAAGGAATACCCGCATCCAAGAATGGAATGCCCTTCCTTGCAAACAACCAAGGAAAAGGCCAAGGGGAACTGGCTTCTACCCGCCAGGTGCAAATGTCTTCTGCTCCGGGCTTCATCGAAGTCAGGAGGTTTCCCTAATAAGAGAAACTGCTATTCTGAACAGAATTGTTCTTCATAGTAACCCCAACCAGAGGTAAGGCTAGTTCCTTCACAGAGTTCCAAGTTTTGGACTTCCAGAAACTATTTGCTGTTTTTCTTCCAGTACTGTGCCATTGATTCTTGCATAAAATTCTGGAATGCTGGCTCTTCGTGGCTTTCCTCGGTAACTGCAAGGAAAATGAGAAGGTCAACGGTCTTCCAACTCTCCCATCAGCCAGGCAGATTCGAGCTGCACTCACCCCCGACCAGACACAGCACTCTACTCCTAAGGAACAGGCGTTCACGTCTCCCAGGGAGGGAAATCTCTCGGAGCTTGCTCTACCTACCGTGTTACAAAAAGGTACCATGTCTTTGAACTGTGAGGAGAAAACCTTCCTCATAATGTAACTAAAATGAGTCCCACTCCTATGTATTTTTATCCAAGGGAAATGAGAGCGTATGCCCAAAGACCTATTAATGAATGTTAACAGCAGCTTTATTTACAATGGCTAAAATCTGGAGACAACCCCAATGCCGATCAGCTGGTGAATGCATCAACCAATGGTGGTACGTCCACATGATGGAATATTACTCAACAATACAAACCACTACTGATACATCAACAACAAGGGTGGGTCACAAATGCACTACACTGAGTGAAAGAAGTCGATGCAAGTTAAATACTGTGTTTCCCATCACATGACATTCTGGAAACGCAAACTAGAGGAACAGTAATCAGATCAGTGATTGGCAGGAACTTGGTACGCAGGAAGAAACTGGAAAAAAAACAGGCATGAGGGAACTTTTGGGGAGACTGAAGTGTTCTGTATTTTGATTATGAGATGGTTACAAGATTGTGATTGTGTGTGTGTCAAAATTCATCTAACCATAAACTTTTAAAAGGTGGGCTTTACTCTGTAAATTACATTTCAATAAATCTGATTAAATGAGGCACTTCACACGTGTGCATCCAGTACCTTGGAGTAAAGAGAGGTCTGCGCGTGGCCGCAGCTAGAACCTAAAAGGGTGGTCACAAGGAACAGTTCTGTCCGTAGTCCACAAAGCGTCGCCAAGCCGACCCTTTGGGTTTCCAGAGCCGCTCCATCCCCACCGTGTTACAGTCCCTTCCGACCAGTTTAGCTCTGCTGCGGCCTCCTTGTGTGTTCCCGAGACAACAAGCACAATAAACCAGACCCCCGATTCCTCACACTGAGTTAGGGCCTAAGGATAAGAACACAGACTAATAAAAGGCCTGTGATCGGCTCAGTACCAACCACTCGGTAGGAAGCCAGGAACCCGTGGGACATGGGACTCCTTCCCGGTGCTGTCTCCTCTGCCAGCTCGTCCTCCGCCTACGACTTGCTCCACACGTAATGTCTTCTCTCAGCGAGAAGCTCCCAACCACGCCACGGGAGGATACGCCGCTAGTCTGTGCTCGTGAGCCTCCCCAGCTCCCGCTCACCTCTGTGGTCAATGTCGTCAGTGTCGCTGTCTGCTTCCTCATCCTCTTCCTCCAGGGTTCCCCGCGTCAGGATCAGGTCGGAAGGGCCCCGCGCAGGAGGTGCGCCGCCTGCAGAGGAAAGGCCCGCGGCACGTCACGGACACAGGCCGCCTCAGCGAGGCGGTTCTGAGGCAGGGAGTAGCCGCGGTCCTGACAAAGGCAGGGTCCTGCTTCTCCTGAACGTCAGGGCTGGGGCCGCTCAACGTCTCTGCAGTTCACAGGGTGCTTTCGCTATCCCAGTAACTCGAGAGCTCTCGTTTTCGAACTGGGAAAAGTAATCCTCAAGTAGCCTGTCTCAGCAGGAAGGCCATTTGTTTTCAACAGCTCACAGCTTGGAAAAGACTATGGCTTCTCATGAAGGCTAAAGACATCTGGCAGACGCACAGTGCGGGGGGAGGGGGGTGTCCAGCGTGAGTGTGGAGCACCGAGGAGGCTGCCTGGTGGGAAGTAAGTTCCGACAGCATCTGAAGAGAGCACAGGCTGAAACGATCTAGAGCAGATGAGCCAGGGTATTATTCAAAAGTAAAAGGAAGGGGAAAGTGGACACTGAATACCGAAACAGAGGCGAATTCTCTCTAAGGGAAACTGAACAGGGCTGAGCGCGCTAACCAGGAAAATCAGGCCATTCCTAGGCAGGGGGTCAGCCTGCAGGGGCCAGGCTCTGTGAGAACCTAAAACCATGCACCCAACCCAAAGCCACTGGAAGACACGACCACTCTCTCTGCAGGGGCCTGACAGGTCAGGCGGGGAACAGGGTGGCAAAGGGCAGCAACATCAAGGGGTGCAAATCTCAAAGGGCCTGTGGCCCTGAGAAAGGATGATGGCAGGGCGACCTGCCAGTCCACGCTTCATTCTGTGCAAAACTAAGAATTACACAACTATACTTGCGATCTTCCTCAAGTCATTTACCAAAACTCCCCCAAGCTTTAACAGGTTATCTGAGTGCAGCAGACCCTTTGCAAAAGCAGATGTAACAGTTGCCACTTCATGTATCCATGAGAGATTCCAAAGACCTGAGCACAGGGAACTTTACGTGGCTGAGCTGTACAACAGGGACGCATAGGCAAGTTCATGTGACTGGTCAGCCCGGCCCACTTCCAGCACCTCCTCCCCCAAGCAGCTTTGCCGTTCTCTGCCAGGTGCACAGCAACAGCTTCCATGAACAGAACTTCAGTCCTTTAAAGGCCAGTCCACCAATGAGCGTGGACGGCTGGGAGTATGCTCATTTAACTAGGAGCACCAACCCAGACATCCCTAGAGAATCAATGACAAAACTCAAACAATATAAAAAGTCGTAAAGTAACAAAATAAAAAGACTAATGTACAAAAATCAAAAGCCTTCATATATACAAACATAATAAGTTAGAAGATGTAATGGTTCAGAAAAGCCCATTTTCAACAGTGGCAATGAAGAAAAATCCTTGGAATAAATTGAACAAGAAATATGCAAACCCTACATAGGGAAAACATCCCCCCTTTCCCTTTCCTCTCTAACATGTTAAGTATCTCCCTGATGAGCGAAGCACTGCGACCCTTTGGGCTCCTGACTCCGAGAGACCCTCCGTACCAGCAGCAGCTCCTGTGTCCAAGGCTATGGAGCCCATATCTTTCCGAAGGCGTTCCAGTTGTTCTTTCTGCTGCTGGCTCTGCGCACCGGCCTAGATGCAGAAAAAATACCATCAGAGTCAAAAAGGAGCCCCTGGTTACATGCTCGACTTCTAACTGGAGATGACCGATCACACAAACACTGAGGCACTGGGCAGGTAAGGGCTGGCCCGGGGGCAGGAACACCAAGCAATGCGGGCCCAGATTCACAGCTCAGGCTGCAGGGCCCTGGGGATGGAACCGAAGTTTCAGGAACTGGAGAGAAAGCACATCGAAAGGCCCCTCAGGCAGACACAGCAGGAAGGCTCAGTGACGTGGAGGCAGTGCGGCCAATGGGAACAGGACACCTGACCAGCTGGGACAGGAGCTGTGAACCACCTCTCCGTTCCTAAACAAAATTCTACAACTAGCCTTTAAGTGGACCTTGGAATAGAGGTGGGGTAGGGTACAATAAGGGCTCAGCACGTATAACAGGAAAAATCTGACTTTTAAAACTTCAGGTAAAGAGAAGAAAAATAATTAAGGGGTCTTTCTGCACACAGACAGCACACACAGAAATTTACAAATTTAAATTAACAAGTATCTAAAAGACACCCCAACAGCCACAACAAAAGTAGTGATGGCAGAAGGTTTGGGGTTGTTTTTTCAGTGGACCTAAAAAATACAAACAGCCTCCTTCTCTCTTACCAGTGACTTCTTCAGACGTTCATACTCAGGACGATACTCCCTGGAAGAGAAACACTTTCTGAATTCCTGTGCTTAATAACCTCTCCTGCCTGCCCCCACATCACTTCCGTTTTCCTAGGACTCTGACAATAAAAAAAGACCTCACTTCACTGAACATCAGGCACAACAAGTGTTGCTGAAATTCTATCCCTGTGCAATTGAAAGCCAAGGTGCCTGTCCTCACCCTGAAACTAGAGAAAAGAAAAACATCTGACTGCCGAGCTGGAGAGATTAACTCTAGAGCACAGGTGGCAAACACAGGGCCCATGAGCCGAATCCACCCTCTACCTTGCTTTATCCAGCCTGTCACCTTGTTTCTACCTGGCGGCAGCACCAAGGTCCTAACCACCAGCTAAGGAGTAGTTACATTCCCACAGCCCGAAAATCACACTCGGTCCTCTGAAGGCACCCAAGAGGCTGAAGTGGCCCCTGGTGAAAATGAGTTTGACAGCCCTGCTATAGAGACCATGACCGATGAGCTTATCATTCATTTGGACAAACAGCTGAGACACCCGAGTGAAGGAAGCTCAGTCTGTTGGGTTCAGGAAGCCCAGTATAAACTTATGTGGTTTATCAGGGCAACAATGAGGATACAAAATAGAGTCTCAACTGAGGCTCTGATCACACACACACACACACACACACACACACACACACAACAAAACCCACATCTGATGAATCAAAATTAAAATGTGCCTGAAAATCACAATGTGGTTGTTAGCATCTTGCTAAGCACGAAGCCAAGGAGCACGCTGGGAAGCAGCCAGCAGGCTACAGGCCTGCGGGAGCATCTGCGTGCTCTGCCTCCACTTTCTCTCAGGTAAGTGCAACTCCAGCACTGATCGTGACAACAGCTGTGACAGCCATTTAATATCAAATGTGTTTCCGTGTCGGCAACTGCGCTGGACGCCCCAGGTGCCGTCTCCAATAATCCTCACAATGACCTTGGCAATAAATGCTGCTGTCTCTGCTCTAGAAATGAGGAAAACTTGCTAGGGTCACTTGTCTATTAGGTGGAGGAAACAGAAATACAATTCACACCTGTCCGACTCCAAAGTCTATGTTCTTAATCGGGGGTGAGCAATGTGGCCAACGGGCCCAGAGAAGCCCCTGCCTTCCTTCGTGAGTGAAGTTTTACTGGAACGCAGCACGCTCACTCGTTTGCAGACTCTCCGTGGATGCCTCTGGGCCACAAGGGAGGCACTGAGCAACTGCGACAGAGGTCACACGGCCCACAAAGCCCAGAGTAGTTATTGTCTGGCTTTTTACAAAAAGTCTCACAACTCCTGCTCTTAATCATTCAATGCACTGAAGATTTTATACTCACTTTTTTTTGAAAGTTAATGGAGACGTGTTACACCTAAGTGCGGCCACAGCCAATGTACGTATTCATGCCAAATATAATAGGTACACTATGAAAACCAAACAACTTTGCCTGGCAAAACTGGTTATCATATCGGAACTGTAGTTTACTGAGAGTAGCAACAACAGGACGTTCCTTTGACTCACCTTTCATACTCCTCCGCAGCACTGGTGACTTGCGCGAAGAGTTCCTCTAAGCCCGTGCCCAGCACGGCAGACACGCCCACCACCTGACAAAGGCAACATGAACGCCATTGAGGAAACAAATGTGTTTTTAACAGTGTACACTATTTTCTTCAAGTCTCATAAAATCTTCATAAAAGAAGTTTAGTTACTTCAGAAAGTCTCTGGCAACAAGTACAAGGTCTGTCCAGAAGGTATTCCGGCCATGTTATATGAAAAATAGAAATTTTATTAAAGATACAAGACACAGGAAACATTATATTACAACAATGACACCTCAGCACCCTCAGAAGTAGGCACCTTGAGACCTCACACAGTCTCCCAGGCACCGCCAGTTGCCCTGTTGTATTTTCCCGAATCTCACTGATAGTCTGAAATATCTTCCCTTTCAAAGGTGATTTTAGTTTTGGGCAAAGCCAGAAGTCACAGGGTGCCAAATCTGGCCTGTATTGGGGTTCAGTCACCTGGGTGATTTGATGTTTTGCCAAAAAACTGCACGATGCAAGAACAGGCGTGTTATCGTGATGAAGCTGCCAATCACAGGTTGCCCATAGCTGTGGCCTTCTGAATCATCTGAATAGTGTCCGTGGAGGAATGTTCAAGCTTAACTTGATGCAGATTCATTGTCTACTCGGTCACTTTGAATGCCACAGCCACACAGTACACATGCTCACTCAACAACATCTACCGCCACCACTGATTAGTACAGTGAAGTTGTTATTGTTCATCCGTTTGCATTCCAGTCCACTCTCCTTGGCTGCCAAGTTACATCAATGTTACACAAACTGTTCTTGTTATATTAACAATGGCTGGACTTTTTCTGGACAGACCTTGTAAAGCTAATACTGGGTTGGCCAAAAAGTTCATTTGGTTTTTCCTATAAAATGGCTCTAGTAGCACTTAGCTGTCTTTAACTTCATTCAAAACAATTTTGCTAGACTGTACTGTGACACCTGTCCTATCAGCATGCATTAAAAAAAAATTTTATCAAAATTGGTGAATTGTTGTGTAGCCATTTTAATACTGAAGATGGAAGGTGATATGCAACATCTTTGGCATATTATGCCAGAAAAGATAAAAACATAACTGAAACACAAAAAAAGGTTTATGCAGTGTATGGAGAAGGTGCTGTGACTAATTTTATCAAAAGGAGTCTGCAAAGCTTCATGCTGGACATTTCTCACTGGATGATGCTCCACAGGCGGGCGGACCAGTTGAAGTTGAGAGCAATCAAATCGAGACACTGACTGAGAACAATGAATGTTCTACCACGTGGGAGATAACCGACATACCCACAATGTCCCAATCAATAAAGTTACTGGTGAAAATGAAAAATGTGTCTTTTATTTTACAGAAAAAACCATACAGACTTTTTGGCCGGCCCAAAGCAGCATTTCTACTAAATAAACAGTGATGGAGGTTAAGTCTATGCAGAACAGAGAACTGAACAACAAAGATGGTTAGGATGAAGTAAGTAGTAGGACTTTTTGTCTGTTCTCTATCACATCAAACCACTGGCTATTCCCTATGAAAATTAGTATCTCAGTGCCTTTATTTGGGCCATTAACATAATCCCTGCTACACATTCCCCCTTTTCTTATACAAATCTTACCCTTCCTTCAAAGCATGCCTCAATGCTATATCCCCCCCCCACCACCGAAGGCTCTCATTTCAAAGGCGACCTGCACCTCACCATCCCAACTGCCCACCTTTCATCAGGCATGCACCCCGACACAGCGTCTGCTTCAGGTCTGTGTGCGGCCTTCTCTTCTAGCTAGGCCATGAACTCTGACGGCAGGGTCTCTAATTTATCTTTTAAACCTCCAGCTTTTAGTAAGTTAATGCTTTAAAATTTACTTTTTAGAAGGTAATGAACTCCCTTCCTGAGATGGGTTCAGAGCCAGCCGTCGGCGTTGAGAGGTTTTCTGGAAAGACTATCAGTGTTAAGCAGAGGAGAATGTTTACCCTGAGTGAGCTGTAAAATTCATCCAACACCAGGCTCATTGAACGGGTCAGGTTACTGACGTATGTAGTCTCCTGATTCAAGGCATCTTGGAAAGCCTCAAAATCTTGCATCCACTCCACTGCAAAGCTGTGATCAATGATGTCAGTCTGCTCCAGAGAGAAGCCAACTATGAGCAACCAGAGGTGAGTACAGACAGCAAACGACACCCCCCAAATTTTTAATTAAGTGGTGACAGCAAAAAGCAATTATTCGTATTTTCTTTCTCTGCTTCCCCCAGTTCCTTTTCCACTGAAACGTGCCAAAGAACCAAGATCCCTGTGTGGTGTAAATAATGGAACGAAGGTATGTGTTCTCTTGGGTGAAGCAGACCCTGCATCCACTGCTGAGAGAGCACGACCACAGTGGATGCCGGCACATTGTAAGTTCTGAAGTCAAGTGGTCTGCTGTATCCTACCTATCAACCAGGAGGGGAGTTCTGGGGTTTTTTGTTTTTTTTTTCAGTTTGCCACTTCTAATAGACGAGCCGTCCCATCCCTCCCCCTCCCCCCCACAATCTTGATTCTGAGGGATGATTTACACCCTATGGTTGAGGGGCTGCTCTCACTAGGCTAAAATAACTATGCTTGAGAGTCAGTGATGAATATTTAATCTGGACGCATCTTCTTCCTAGGAGTGCCCATGACAGTTTCGGTTGAGCTAAATCTGCTCTTCAGTATCTGAAATAATCCTTCCCACCTGTTCCAAATCTTCCAATAACACAAAGTTCTGATGAACAAGAAATACAGTATCGAATCACAACAGTAAGGATCTACTTACTTTATTCATAACCACAATGAAAGGAAGCTTGGTTTTGTACAAGATGCTGAAAATCAAACATCAAGACATTATTAGTAAAAAAAACAAAAACAACTTCAGCTCTTATTTACCCAGTCTGTTGGAACTGAGTAAAAAGAAGGGGAATGAGCTCAGACTCCCAGTATAAGGTATCCACTCTCACAAGTAACAGACTGTCCTCTCCCAAGAGGAAAACCACAACCACCATCAAACACACCTCTCTCTCTCCTTCTCTCTCCCTCCCTGTCAGTAATAATGCTTTGCTACTGATCCTGGTTCCTGCGTATTTGTGTGTGGTTTTTTGTTTCATTGTTTATTTTTACCAAATAATGGTCTTTTCATAATTAATACAAAAATGGACTAGGATTTCTCCCATCTAATAAGAGACATTCCTAGTCATATCAGGAGGGACAAGTGTTGGTGAAGGCTTTGGTGTCCCTCCGAAATCCAACTCTCTCAGCTTTGATGACAGCGCGCCTGGCTCCCAGGTCCGACGCACTGACATGCCCCAGTGAGGCAAGTTCTTCCTCTCCTAACGGCACCACACTTGGGGCAAACCTGTGTGCTTTAGAATTACGGTAACTCTTTTTATTCACAGTTTCTCCTCATGTTATAATTTCACTCTACCTATCGCAACACAGAAAAAGAGCGCTATTCTATCTAGACTGCGGTTTCACTGAGCTGGGAACGAACAACTACCAGAAGATTCGTATTCATCCACCACCTCTTTCGGTAGCGAGGGAGAAAGGTGAGAAGCTGCTGACAGAGAATGCCAACAGCCCACGCGCCTCCTTGTCTTCTGACCCCGCTCCTACTTGCAACCAATAAACTGAGTGGCAAACCTGACTGAGTACAGATCTAGGGAAAGCACTCAGGACTGAAAGAAGAGGAGGCCTCATACCTTGATGTGATATCATGCCCACCAATAATCAATTACCTGCAGGCGTACAGCATATTGGACATGAAAGTCACTGGGTTGGTACTCCTCGACGTGTCCATTACATAAATGACAATCGTTGGAAATGAGGATGCCTAAAGCCACAAAACAAGCAAAGCCTTAGGAAGCGGGCTCATGGCCTGTCCCCAGACTTTTCCAACCTTTTTTAGCAAGGGAGAATCACTTGAGGCAGGGTTTACAGAACTTCTCTAACTCCCTCCCACGTGAGGTCGCAGGCAAGGAAGGGATGCTCATCCAGCCTAGCTGTCAGAAACAAGCCCCACAGTGCTCACCAGGGCCTCAGTGATGATTGTTCCCGAAGCTGACCAGGTGAATACTTCGATCTGCCCAGGCGTGTCAATCAACACGTACCTGTGACAAGAAAGACCATTAAAGAAGTATTATACTTGGCCAACGCTGAAAATATTCCATCACGAAAAACACCAATCACTTGGTTATCCAAGACCTAAATAACCTCTTCACACTGTTGAGTCTACTGTCCTCCCATTGCCTTTAAAATGCATACCACATTCCCTCAGGCTTTGTTCATGTCCAATATTCATGCTAACGGATAAGAACAGCAGTCCATACATTTCTACAAATAACCACAGAGGGCGCTGCAACAGTTATAGAAACATCACATTAAAAATGAGATAAGCATTAGCTCTGGTCGGTTAGCTCAGCTGATGAGAGCATCATCTCGATATGCCAAGGTTGTGGTCAGAGCACATACAAGATCAACCCATGGCCCTTGCCGGTGTGGCTCAGTGCACTGAGCACCAGCCAGTGAACCAAAAGGTCACCAGTTCAATTCCCGGTCAGGGCACATACCTGGGTTGTGGGCCAGATCCCCGGTTGGGGGTGTACAAGAAGCAACCAATCTATGTTTCTCTCGCACATCATGTTTCTCTCCCTCTCCTTCTCCCTTCCTTCCCCTCTCTCTAAAATAAATAAAATCTTAAAGAAAAAATCAACCAATGAATGCAAAAATAAGTGGAACAAATCAATCAATATCTCCCCCCACCACCCGTCTCCTCCCTCTCTTTCTAAAATCAATTTTTAAAAATTAAAAATTAAAATAAAAAATCTAAAAAAATGTTTCCTTAAAAAACGAGCCAAGCAAAACCAGAATGTGAATCTCGTAGGAAAGCACCTGGTTGCTGAGGGGCGGGGAAGGGAAAGGTGGAAGAGGAGGAGGAGTGGAGGGACGGGGAGTGACAGCTAACACACGCAGCGTTTCTTCTTGAGGGGATGAAAATGACCTAAAACTGACTGTGGTGTGGTTGCATGATTCTGCTGTGTAATATTCCACTGTGTAACTGTACCACAGTTTTTTGATCCCCTCATTTACTGATGGGCACTTAGGCTGTTTCCAGCACTTGGCTATTGTAAATAATGCTGCAATGAACATTGGGGTGCAGAGGTTCTTTTGAATTGATGTTTCAGGATCCTTAGGGTATAATCCCAGCAGTGAAACTGCCAGGTCAAAAGGTAATTCAATCTTTAGTTTTCTGAAGAAACTTCATACTGTTTTCCACAGTGGCTGCACCAGTCTGCATTCCCACCAACAGTGCACTAGGTTTCCCTTTTCTCTACACCCTCGCCAGCACTTGTTGCTTGATTTGTTTATGATGGCCATTCTGACTGGCGTGAAGTGGTATCTCATTGTGGTTTTAATCTGCATCTCTCTGATGGCTAGTGAAGCTGAGCATCCTTTCATATGTCTATGGGCCCTCTGTATGTTCCCCTTGGAGAAGTGTCTGTTCAGGTCCTTTGCCTATTTTTTTATCAATAAAGCTGTTTTTAAAAATGAGCAAAAATGTGAATGGACACTTCTCCAAATATACAGCAATGGCCAATAAGTACATGCAATGATGTTCAACACCATTAATCACTGAAGGAATACAAATCAAAATAGCAATGCAATACCACCTCACACCCACAAAGTTGCCCATAATCCAAAACAACATAACAGGTACTGGCATGGATGTAGAGAAACGGGAACCCTTACGCACTGTTGGTGAGTGTGTAAACACGAGCTGGGGAAAAGGCAGAACAGGGAATGACTGCCAATGTGTACGGGGTTTCTTTGGGGATAGTGAAAATGTTCTGAAATTAAATAGTAGGAATCAATACACTAAAAACCACTAAACTGTACGAATTAAAGAAGTATACTTTATGATATGTGAATTTGTATCTCAAGAAACATTTTTTAAAATCACCTCTAGTGGGACCCCATTTTTGTAAAATACCTTGTCTGTCCATCCTTCTACGGACATGTGCATAGAAACGTGGCACGACAGTCACTGACAGTAAGAACAACGACAGTCATTTCTGGTGGGAACCTGGTGGACGATAACTTCACCGCTCACATATTACATAGTTTGAATTCCTTATAGTGAGCATATATTCTTTTTTACAAAATAACTGAGTTATCTTTCTTTTTTAAAACAGCAAACTTATTGCCCTGTCTGGTGTGGCTTAGTGGATTGGACATCATACTGAAAAATGAAAGGTCACCAGTTCAATTCCTAGTCAGGGCACATGCCTGGGCTGCAGGTTCAGTACCCACTGTGGGTGCATACAAGAGGCAACTGATCAATGTTTCTGTCTCTTTCTCTCTCCCTTCCCCTCTCTCTAAAAATAAATAAATTGGGGTGCTGGAGAGGGGTGGGAGGAAAAGGCAGAAAATTGTACTTGAACAATTAAAAAAAAGTTAAAAAATAAATAATTTTTTAAAAAAGCAAACGTTTTAAAAACCTATTAACAGTTAACCGTGGATAATTTTATTTTATATTTTGATACTTTTAAAACTAAAAAGCAATTATCCTGATTTATGTAAATTACATTCCTTTAAACAAGGGTTAGGAAGGTGTTTCAGAGACTGTAAGGCCAGCACGTGTGGTTTCCCAAGAGAAGGCAGACAGACAACTGAACTTGGACAAAGTTTCAAAGTGCCTCCTAACGGGCATATACCAAAGTGACTCAGGGTGGGCCACTATTAAATTGAGTGCTAGGCTGTATGGCGTCTTAATGATTTTGTTCCTTGCCTTTTTTCACTTCTAACAGTTTCATCCCAGTCTACACCATTTCAAAACTTGATGCTATCCCAAAATCTCCCAAAAAAGCCTAGAAATATGTCAGGAGTAGAAAACAGGTACTAAACTGAAATCACTTACTTAGACATGTTCTGGGCTTTCTCAATAAACTTCATCACCTAAAAGAAAAAGATGCCAATTATAACAGGTCTCAATTTCAGCATAAAACCATAGGGCCCTTTCCAGGTGGCCTGCCTCAGAGGTACCGTCAACTACTGATTCTCTGTGTTCTCAGCCTCAGGACACCCACTAACGAGTCATGGAAGCGAAGAAACACAGCCACACCAGCAGCACGGCAGCACCCTGGAGCACTGTGCAAGGGTCTGAGACGCTGAGGACTGGATCTGTCCCTGTCAAGTCACTTCTCCTGATACTTCAGCAAAATGTTAACAGCCTGTCTCATAGAGTGACATCAGGGTAAGAGAAAAACCAATTAAAAGCACTCTTATAGAAGAAGGTGACAGAGAAAACCTCAGTAATGGCTGATTTGTCACAAGGTAAAGCCCCATTATTTTTCCCCTCCATTCCTGCTAGCCCACCTCACCCTTCAACCCCTACTCCATCCTCAGGTAACACTGCACCCCAAAATGAACCCCCATCTTCTGGATTTCTGTTTGATTGGCCATCGCAAATACTCAACGTGAAGTGTTCACAAAACGGATCATCCTCTCGTTGCCTACTCCTGCCTACCAAAATGCCTACTTATTTTCTATATTTATACCCAGGTTTATTGCTCTTCTTCCCCAATGTTATCAAGCTAATACATTTAATCATCACAGGTTTTTACATAGCCATGTCTAGATAAGCAAAAACAGACAGCCATACCTGATCGAATCTGGTAGCAAAGAGATTGAGTGAGGTCACTATGCCACCATTGGGCCCAAGTCCATATCTGGACACTAAGTTGAGGATTTAAATTGCTTATAGATGAATTCAGATGATAAAGTTCATACCTAGGGTATCATTCACACAAACAACACTGTAGCATTAGTGGTCCATTAATGGATACTGGCAGGCTAATCCTTGACTAGTATGTATCACACTGCCTTGACTTCATAGGAAACATTCATCATCAAGGTCTTCTTCATTTATTTATTGTTTTAGGGATAGCCAGGCAAAATGAAGAAACTAAAGGGACCAAAACATAACACATGCATCGGGCAGTGACAGCCTGCTGGCATTAGCTGTCAAGATCATCTACACAGCACTTTTGCTCTGATCCTCACTAATCAAGCAAGCTGCTGAGTATAACTGGCCTTCCTGCCTAGACTTACCTACAGGGAAAGGACATTTCACACAGCAATGCCGGTGAAACCAAAGAGGGTGTAAAAAAGGATACTGTTTCATGACTTCTTTATACTTCACAGTGTCACGAATATCTGCGGGAAAGGGGGAAGACTTCATTAGAATTTAACACATAAGAAACAATATAATCCACCAATAATATCCTAAACCAACAGGTCTTTCACATCATCTCTGCTTCCTCAGAAGGAAAAAAATAAGTTTCTCTCTTGGCATGAGTTCCTTTTCAAACTTGTTTTCTAAATTTTTAAACTAGTATCACTGAATCGTGGTAGAAAAAGCAGCAAGACTGTGAGGAAAAGGACGGAAGGGCAAAAGGTGCTCTGAACTTTCTCTACCAATAAGAAACTGAAACTAGCCTTTTTGGATTCTCTTCTACTAACTTCTCCAGCTTTATACTGGTTTCTGTCCTTACGAAGGATAATTGTCAAGTAACCCATGAAGAATGTTAGGCTAGGAGCTCTCAAGTTATGGTAGAGAAGGTCTGAGATAAGGAGAAAAGTTTTATGCAACTGAAATACCTTGTCATTAACCACATGCATAGAAAAGGAACTAAATCAAGAAAAAAGGGTTCTTACTAATTGAAGGTAATGCAGACATAACTTTTAAAAAGGAATTAATCTGTCTAGTAATATCTAACTAACCCTATCTACCAGTCTGTAAACCTACCCCATCAACTACTAGAATTCCATCTTTTAAGTGAGAGGATGAGTGATCCCACCCCAGCCCCCCACTTTCCTCAAAACGACCTCTGCTCGACACAAGGCCTTCCTTTATTAGTTTATTTGGGTTGCAAGCATCTTAACAGGATTAAGAAGAGGTTAGGAAAGGATTAGGAAGCCTAAATCCTATCAAAAATCAGGACATTAGATCACATCCATTCTTAATTGTTTACAGCTACAAATTCCTCTTACAACTGGGAACCTCTCCCCAAAATAATGCACACATGCACATTTTTCCAAGTAACTACAGCAGTGGAAGCAAGATTCCTACAAATCATTAAGTGAACTACCACACCACAACCATTATATTCCAACTAAACTTTGAGAAAAGAAACTAAATAGAAAGGTGTATATGTAAGGGCCTGGTGGAAGGTTTATGGCCTAGAAGTGAGAGGACTAGCTTTCTGTCACTCCATTTTTCCCACATAACAATAGCTTGACACCTTAGGGTCAGAAAGGAGAAATAACACTGAGTGGGTGGGAAAGGAATAAACAAAGAGAAAATATGAATAAGGTAAAAACCTATTTAGGAATTCTACCAAATCCAACAGAAATGAAAGTGGTTTGGAAAGAATGACAGCACTGAAAACTGACAGGCTGGAGGCTTTCCATTCTGAGGCACTTTTCACAGAACGATACAGTTTACTCACCAATATTGGCAGGAAAGGGAACTTCATGCACAGCTGGGTCCAGGTTGATCACATAAGGTGGAGAGCCTTGGCTGTGCAGGTGTCCTGTGAGCCTCTGCAGAGATATGGGTACAGGATTGGGTGAGAAGAGAGGACATGATAAGGGGACACAGGACTTTTTTCTCTATCTGATATATTTGCCTCCCACATTCAACTCTCAGTTGAAATGCAACCTTTCTTTATTACCCATTTAACAGAGCCTCCCCCTCTCTCCATCACTTATTTACTTGCTTGGTATGGATTTTTTCCTATCACCTCAAATAAAACAGTAGTTCAGAAAGCAGGAACCTCGTTAATCCAATTTCACTGTATTCCCAGTGCCTGTGTATGAGTCAAACAGATGACAATTACCAGGCAGCAAGTTCTCAAATGCTCCAGAGAATGACAGTTTTGCAGTTTCACGCATTTGGAATTCAGGAGGTAAAGTAAGAAAAACTACGTAAAGTGGGAAAAAGAAAGGCGGGGACTGGATCACAGGATAGTTAGTGATATTATGTGCTCTCTTAAGAGAGAGGCATTTCAAATGTGTATTAACCTAGATGCACAAAAACAATGAAAAGAGCTTGCTTACAGAAAATATAAACCTCCTACTAAAGAAGTTATATGCCTGGAGTGTGACTATCCACCAAGACCTGCCCAGTTAAGAATTTATGATCCATATGATTTCACTCATATGTGGAATCTAATGAACATATTAAACAAAATAGAAACATACTCAGAGAAGAGACTGAGGGACGTCAGAGGGGAGGGTTGTGGCCCTGGGTGGAAAAGGTGAAGGGATTAAGCAAAAACAACGACGACAAAAGAAAAACCCTCAGACACAGACACAGACACAGTATGGCGATTATCAGATAGAAAGGGGGTGGGGGGAGGTGGGAAAGGGTAAAGGGGGTATAAATGGTGATGGAAGGAGATCTGACTTGGGGTGGCGAACACGCTATGCAATATATAAATGATGTATTATATAATTGTACACCTGAAACCCAATATAATTTTATTAACCAATGCCACCCAATGAATTCAATTTTAAAAATGTGTAAGTCAATCACCCTGTGAGGATGCTTTCAGTTAGACTTATTACAGCACCTTTTCTGTCCATACCTGAAATACTACAGACGCACAAGAAATACGTAATTCCTTAACAATCTACATCAAAGTCTGTGTTACAGCACCGTACCAATCGCCAGCTACTTGTAGCTGCCTTCAAAAAGTGGCAATTTTAAGGGTGGGACAATTCCAGTATGAGGCGGTAAACGGAACCAAGTTATGCACTGAGAGTGCGCAAAAGGGAGACCTAATCAACCCAGGCGAGGGTCCAAGAAAGTTCCGCCGAGTAAGGAACCGGAGGTGCTAGGAGGTCCCGAAAAGCCACGCGCCAGCCCCCTCCAACTCCTCAGAAAGACCTCTCTCCCCTTCTCCGTGGCCCTCCACAACCTCTCCCGCACATCCGCTACGCCCGTGCCACGTATGTCACCTGTACAAAGGTGGTCTTCCCAGATCCCGCCATTCCCAACACCAAGAGACACACTGGGGGCCGAAGACCCCCAGGAGCCTGGGACGCAGCGGCACCTACGGGCGCCGCCATCTTCCTCCCTGGTCCCGCCCACTCTACCATAGAGACGTCACGTGGCTACGGAGGCTTCCGAGACATTGGGAACTGTGAAAGAAACCGGAACTGGCTCCAACCTGCTCAGAAAGGGAAGAGCAACGGAAGTCGGAGCACCTTCCTGTCCCTCCCAGTTCGGGACCCCACTGGGTACCCTGCTAGGCAAGGGGAGCTGCTGGGAGGGCTGGCGGTGGCCTGGAGGAAACGATTCCCCCCCGTCGCGGGGTTGGGTCCGGGAAGAGTAAAGGTGTGTTATGGAGGAGAACCAGACGAGACTCCTAGGGCAGGGCTCCCACGATGCGAAAAACAGTGCAGCCCTTACAGTTTGAGCTTTGAGTACATTGAGAAGGGGAGATAAAGGGAGCGTATCTTACGTCAACTTTTACTTTTGAAAATATTTTCTGTGGAGAAATAGCTCAAGGATTAATGAGGTGGCCGAATGCCTCTGCTTGTTTTAGGGAAATGTATCAAGAAAAACGTTTTTAAATATTTGATGACTTTTTAGAGTCGTAGGTCATCAATTTCAATAGCCACACGCCCAAGTCTAAGATGATAAGATTACTTAATGTTAAATACATTAAATACTTTAGTTTTAGGCCACATACTACATTTTCTTACCATTATGTGCACTTAATAGTAACGAAATGCCTTTTGTAACTAACACATGCCATTTATACTTACTTAATAGAACTGGGAATACTATTTTAAGTTAGTGTAGTCTTTTAGAGTAGGGTGGTTGTGGTGGTTTTTTGCATTTATATTGATATTTAGATCAGTGATTTATTTGAATGGTGAATCCTTATAAAGGCATATAACCCCATATTTTAACATTGCTCCTCTGTGGAAAAATATAATCAATGTTATGTTTTCCAGAAATTGCCAGTAATGAAAAACTTAAAAGTAATATATTTTTTTAAGATTTTATTAGGGAAGTGAGGGAGAAAGAGAGAAAAACATCAACGTGAGGTTGCTGGGGGCCTTGGCCTGCAATCCAGGCATGTGCCCTGACTGGGAATCGAACCTGTGATGCTTTGGTTCACAGCCCGCACTCAGTCCACTGAGCTATGCCAGCCAGGGAGAAAAATAAAATTCTTGAATTTAGTTTTACTCATATGTAAAATTAATTCCTTTGTACTGGATTAAAAAGACTATCCCTCAATGTACCTTTAACTTCTAGCTTTAACAATTTTTCTGTTAAATATGTAGTTTCTCTAAACAAGTTTTTGTTAAAAAATAAAAGGCTACTTGGATTATAATTTATCCATTGATTTTATTTTTGTTACAGTGTATTTTCTATTTCATCACTTTTCTCTTTATTCTGCATTTCTTACACGACTGTACGAATGCATTTCTTATACTAATGTACGAATACATTATTTGTATACAAATAATGAAACCAGTTTTGATGCAGAAAATATAACTTGAGATAACATGCTGTTATCTTAACCTGAATACTTCAGTTCATGAGCTGAAAATACAGAAACACAGCACTTGAAAAACATGGTACCCAAGACAAATCTGAAGCCCTATTCTCTCTGGATGCAAAAACCCTAGGAAAATACGTACCTAAGGCTGATAAGAGTTTAGAATCTTACTCTTCCACAATTAGTTCCTCTACTGCCATAGCTGATCCAGTTATCTAACTCCCAAGGTGGAGAACGGCCATCTTATCTGTTTAAATTCCTGCCATTCCAGATAATGGATCTGGTGTACTGCTTCTGGCTGTTCCTCTCAGAGTGAGGCCTCTGAGAGCTGGAGGACTAACAGAAGAATCATCTGATAAAGGCACTTTGTACCTGGCTAGTGAGCAGCAGGCTGGCCAACTAAGATCTCAATCTACTTTTTGTCTTCCTTTAGCAGGTAAATGAGGTTTGATTTATAATTTTTAAAAGCTCACTACAAATGGTCATGTGGAGTGTATCCAAGCCAGTGAAAAGCAGGAAATCAATCAGGAAGCTACTGCAGTCCAGGCAAGAGGTGGTGATGGCTCTACCTGGGGTGGTAGAAATGGACGTGAAGACATGGGGGAGAGTAAACTACATGGCGAGGGGAGAGCAAAGTTTAAGTTGAAGCAGAAGAAAAATTTCCAAAGTACTCCCTCTAAAGAAAGGTAAGAATGTTTTGTGTTAACTGATTTTTAAAATACTTAAACATACAAAAAGTATAAAACTGTAACAAATTCACTATCCACCTTAAGAAATAAGACCTTCTCCCTGGCTGGCGTAGTTCAGTGGATTGGGCTCGGGCTGTGAACCAAAGTGTCTCAGGTTCGATTCCCAGTCAGGGCACATGCCTGGGTTGCAGGCCATAACCCCCAGCAACCGCACATTGATGTTTCTCTCTTTCTCTCTATCTTCCTCCCTTCCTCCCTCCCTTCCCTCTCTAAAAATAAAAAATAATAAGAGCTTCTAAATTCACTTGTAGTCCAGGGTCCCAGAAGCATTATACTCAATTTGGTGTTTATCACTCTGGTGCATGTTTTCATACTATGCTTATGTATATTAAAGTATAAACATATTTGTATATACTGTATACTCTGTATTTATGTATCCATAAGCAGTAGAGAGCATTTTTGCGTGTTTTGAAACCTTATAGAAATGGTATACTTGATGTATTATGTAGTAACTTGCTTTCCCCAAATGTTATTTCTGAGATGTGTTCATGATGAAAAAGAAGCCCTAGTTTCATAGCAGTTTTCCACTGTATGACTATGTCACAGTTTATCCTTTCTCCTGACAATGGACAATTGGGTTATATAAACTAGAGTAAGCTAACAAAGAGACCCAGAAATGTATGTCTCAAACAATGGACATTTATTTCTTGCTCGTCTATTCATCTGATAGATATTCCGGGTTGACAAGTAGCCCTTCCAGGGGTGATTCAGAGTCAGCCATCCTCCATTTTGTGCTCTAACATCCTAGAGCCTCATGATCATCTGCACCTGAGGAAGGGGGAAGCCTGGACATACACTCACTCCAAAGTTCTAGCCTGGAAGTGACACCATAACGTCCACTCGCATTCCACTGGAGAGAAGTTGGCTACCCCTTCCCCACTGGGGATGGGGAGTAAAGGGCTGGGAACTGCAGTCTAGCCATTTGTTCTATGAGCCTATAATTTTGCAAGTTGAGAGCAGATTTTGGTGGACAGCAGAAGTCTCCACTATGTGTTGTTTCCAGTATCTATTATGAACTGAACTGCAATAGTCATTCTTGTTTGAGTCCCCTGGTACACCTGAGCAAGAGGAGTTTTTCTGTCCATACCTGGGAATGAGAATGCTCAGTCTGAGGGCCTATTTTCAACTGTACCAGAGATGCTGCCAAATCATCTTCAAAGTGATTGTACGAATTCACATTCCAAATCACACATCAGAGTTCATGGCTCCAAAACCCAACCTTATCTGATATTGTCAAACTTAAGTTTATGTTATGCTAATGAACTTTTAATAAAACTTAAAACCTCAAATAAATAGTATGATCAGGATAGTCTATACTGAGTCCTGCTGATGTCGGCCCCAGAAGAAAAGAAAAAAGGAGTGCCGGTAAGGGCCCTGTGTGAGACTGGGCAAGTTTGCTCTGCTTATTCACTTGAATCTCCAATGACTCCTTTTAGCCAGCAGATTGTGGGGGCTAAGGAACAACCAAGACAACTGCGTTTGGTACTTATTTCAAACTCATTACCATCTCTAGCCATTTTCTTACGCCCAAATACTGTATCAGCAAGGAGTCAAGTAGCAGGTCGGAAGTCAATGAAAAAGGAAACATCAATCTGAGAGTCATTTATTTGTCATTAACAAACATTTCCCAAGTCTTACTCACCAGAAATTAACATAACTTCTTCATTTCTCCTCCCTGACAATCCTCATCTACTGAAAGGGCTCTAAATGCGCAAGTGCCAATGAGAATGCAGAGTGGATATACCATGTCCTTTGCCTGTTTCAAAACAATTATCTAACAGCCCATTCAACATATCAGGTAGGCATGAGGTACAGAAAAGGAAATTTTTCTTTCCAACTCCAGAGAAATATCTACATCTGGTGTCAAAGTCTCGGGATTAAAGACGACAACACGTATAAAAGAGGATAGAGGGCAATATTCTCAGAAAATTCAGACAGAGGTTGACTAAAGGGAGGGATGAGGACTCAGCGGGGTACACACTAACAAGTGAGGTCGAGTTCAGGAGCGATGGAACGTGCGCCTTGGCTGCCAGTCTCAGTGGCATTAATTACCAGGAACACTAGGATTCTGTAACAAAAAAATCAGGGGCAGTCAACCTGGTAGTTCCCAATTCATAAAACTGAGGGAGGAAAACAAGCTTCAGGAGGACAGATTATAATGGCAGATGGGGCCTCAAGCCCCAGGAAAGTTGAGGCAGTAATTATTGCTTCTTCTAATTTCCCCTTTCCAGCCATTTTCATGTTCGGGACACAATCCTCCCAAGGCAGCTTGTCATGCCTGTGGGTCTAGTCAGTCACTATTACTTGGGACAAACAAAGCATTTCCCAGTGAAATTAGTGTAGGGAAGTTCTCGCTTTTTCATCCTAAGCCCGTTTTCTTTCTTTCAATCCTAAAACCATACTGAGAGAACCAACGCCCTCCACAAAGTTTGTTTCCCAAAGAGACTGGGTAACCTTATTACACGAGTGACAGCAGTTCTAGCTTCTAGGCTTGTAATAGCACAAATACAAAATGATTAATCAGTATTGTCTTAAAAAATTAATTGGAATTGTTTTATAAACTTGATGATAGAGACTACTAAATCAATGGACCTTCCAAGAACATTCTACACCCCAGGAAGGAAAGGACAAGCAGTGTTCTTAGTCTTGTACAGGGCAACCAGGGCCTACAGATGGCCTTAAGAGGGAGCTCTGTGGGCAAGCTAAGAGAAAAACAATGGACTCCAAACAGGAACAGCAGGAAAACCTACCAAAAAGGGTTGGGGGAAAGGGATTGTCAAAGTGAATAAGTAGGGAAAACAGTGAAATTTACACAGGAGGAAAGAGTGAAAGTCAGAGCTTTACACAAACAGCTGAAAGCGCAGACTTCTCTCCACTCAGCCCACGACTCGGTCCTCCCAGCCCAGGTCCCTGTGACAACAGCATCACTTCCGCTCTCCTAGAGGTGCGTTCACGCTGCCTGCCTATTTCCTCCCTCGTTTGTGATTAGTCTTTGGGGGCTTCGCTTTCTGGAACTGTGCTGGCGCTGGCTCCTGCTCTGGGTCTTTACAGGAGGTGGACACTAGCAGTTCCTCATTATTCCTCCTCTGGTCTCTCCCTCCTCTAGGGCTGGGCTCTGCCTCCTCCGGAAGCTCGATGCCAGCCTGCTGCAGCCGTCTCAGAGACCTTCTGCTGCGGTGCTGCTGCCTCCGCTTTTCTTCTTCCTGCTGCCGCTGCTTTATCTTCATTAGCTTTTCAAAGCTTTTGGTTGTTGTTGGGTTGACAACAAACCAGTCCTACAGAGGCAAAACAGAAACACTATCCAGTCAAAATGCAGGGTCAGCGGGCGAGCGTAAAGAAGGGGTGTGGGGAGAACTGGAAAAGGCGTGGTTAGGGCAGAACAGAGAATTTTTCATTTTTTCACTTTGAAAATTTACAAACCATCAGAAAGGTCACCACAGTTTAATGAACACTGAGATGTACCATTGTTCATCTCTCTCCTTCCTTCTCTGTGCTGAGCCATTTGCAATTGCAGACAGTACACTACTCCATCGCTAAATACTTCAGCATGTACCTGCCTAAGAACAAGTGTTTCCTCCTGCGTAACTACAATCATCATAATTCTAAATATTAACACGGACACATTACTGTTATTTAACATACTCACTATTCAAACTTCCCCAAATGTCTCAATGTCCCTTATACTTGTTTCTATGCAGTATTTTAAACAGCATTAAAACCAGGTTGCTCAAAGATGTGACAATACTAAAAACGGAAGAACAGAGATTGCTGTGAAATAAGAATTCCAGAAGTATAAATTCAGCCTGGTGCACATGCGCCTGATTGAACAGGCTTTAATGCCAACGTCTCCAGTAACCCCTTTACTTCCCTTTTCAGTCCTCGCCCATAGAAACAGATGCAAAGCCCGCCCCTCGCGGGAAGTATGTACAGAATCCATGGAATTACAAAATCTCTGGGAAGGCAGGATCCTCACCTCAGCGTGGACAGAGTTGATGTGATACTTGACACCACTCTCTGATACAAATTCTTTTTGACATAGAAGACACTTGTATTTTCCAGCCACAAAGTTTCCCTATTTTAAAAGAGAATTATTGGTAAAGAGAATTATTTAGGAACACATACCCGGGCTCTGTGTAGGGACTGTCATTGATGAAAAGGGGATTCTACGTCAGCAAAGGTGAGAAGGAAGAGAATCCGAAACAGTAATATACTTAGAAAAAACAGCTGGGCCAGACCATCGCCACTGTAAAACCATCCTAGTGCAAGTCTACACCAAACCCTCCCACCCCGTTCCACACGACCCAAAATCCTACTTTTATTATGTGATATGTCACACTTCCCTATCTTCTCTTGTTTCTGTCACTCCACTTCAGGTTCTCTGGTTCCTCCCCCAAAATGATCAAGCTCCTAAGTTCACAAGAGGCACCAATGTACAATTCTTCCCACTATATCCCCTGCTGCAAAGAGCACCTTGGAAATCCAGAATTAGCAGAGTACCATCTATAATACAAAGCTTAAGGGCTCAGAAGCTAAGATCAAGATGACAAACTCCTAAGCATTCCTGGACAGATCTGGTTTGGATGCCTACAACCCTCTTGCTGCCTTGAACTGACACTTCTCTCCCCTCCTGAAGCTTCAGGTTTCCATGGTGCTCCATTTGGGTGAGGAGATACTTCTGAAAGGGATTGGACAGTGGCAGCAATCCCCACGGCTGGTGGGTTGTAGGGCACCAGGGTCAACGTGGAAAAGATTCAGTGAGGTGAATGGCTGTTAGCCTTGACACCCAGGGATCCCACTTCCCATCTTCAGAGACTAGCATAGTTCAGATGGGCTTGTTTAGAGGATCTTCACCAATCCAGAGAGGTACATGCAAGTTGATTCTCGAAAGTTTAAGACCCAATGAGACAGAGCAGGTCCAGTGTGGGAGAGGCTGAGAGAGAAATTAAATGTCTGGTAGGGATTCAGAACTAACACATTTCTCTCCAAATTCTTTAACTGATATGACTTAAGGCTATGTTGGCCTTTTCTGTGTCTTGGACATACCCTGGCATCCCACCCAATAACAGAACAAGATTCTCTGGGACATCAAAAACTAAACCAGTCTCTGAAGATAACAGAAAACAGGACAACAAGCTGTTCAACTAAACTGAAGTCTCTTCTGTGTCAGACTATTTTAAAGGGCATGATAAGATAAAAGTCACGTTAAGATAATAGTTCAGAAAGGTACAAACCAAAGTACAAGAGCCCAGGTGAGCTTTAAGGCCAGACACACTACTGTAGACAGCCTCACAACCCTGAAAAAGAAGAAGAAAAAATAACATGAAGACTATACAAAAGAGCAGCCTTCTCTTAGCAATCAGGTCCTGGACACTGACCAACCCTACATTTGGACAAAGTCCAATAAATTATAACACAAACAGCCCTGGCTGGGGTGGCTCAGTGGACTGAGCGCCGGCCTGTGAACCGAAAATTGCCGGTTCTATGCCCAGTCAGGGCACATGCCTGGGTTGCAGGCCAGGTCCCCAGCTGGGGGCGTGTGAGAGGCAACTGATCGATATATCTCTCACACGCTGATGTTTCTCTTTCTCTCTCCCTTGCCCTCTCTCTAAAATAAAAGTAAATAAATAAAATCTTAAAGTAAAAAAAAATTATAACACAAACCGAACAGGAAAAGAATTCACAGGCAAACCACAAAAGAAGAAAAACCAATGAAAGGTAAAAAGAAATGAGGTAAACAAGTTGTTTACAAAAGATTAACATACTCCCTTCCCTACCACTTCTTCTAATAGAGAAACAGCAAATTACACAGTTAGGGTTTTGTGTTTTTTTTAATTTGCTTTCTTTAGTACAAATATGTCTTCTGTTTCTTGTATATCTATTCCTCCCCACAGTACTGAATCTACAGCTAGGTTATATTAAAGATGGCTGGAGCCCTGGCCAGGTAGCTCAGGTGGTTAGTGCAGTGTCCAGATAAGCCAAGGTTGTGGGTTCGATCTCCAGTCAGGGCACAGACAAGAAACGACAAATGAATGCATAAATAATTGGAACAACAAACAGATGTTTCTCTATCTCTCTTCCCCTCCCTTTCTCCCTAAAATCAGTAAAACAAAAAGCAACCAACAAATACATAAATGGGTGGAAAAACAAATCGGTGTTTCTCTCCCTTTCCCTCTCTTTCTCTTTTTCTTAAAGATGGCTGGAAATTCTCTGC